GGGCATGGCCTGCATCACCTTTTAATCTTGCAAGAGATAAAAGGAAAGAGTAGAAAACAGGGAAGAGGGAGCTCAGTACCACTGAGAAGAAGTGCTGGGAACAATGTGTGTCCTTTAAACTCAGGGTTTCTTCTCTGAGAATCTCTGAGACCCGGTGGAAGATTGATGGCCAAACCCCCTCACTGCCAAAAAGCCAACTCTGACTTAGAAAACTTCCTTGGTGGGTTTCTGAGATTTTAAAACTTTACAGGAGTAGAAAGCTTCACCTTCCTCCTGGCTGGTGGTTTCACACTGCTGACCTTGCAGTTAGCAGCCCAACACATAACCCCCTACACCACCAGGCCTATGATTCATGGCAAAACAGGACATCTCCAAAGGAACACTTGCCCACAGATCCTGAAAGGAAGACCATTCCCTAGAGGTGAACCCAGTCAAAAAGCAAAACCAAACAAAAACAAAAAAAACCCTTCTCATCGAGCATGCTTTCTGGATCTGAACTGTGAAAGAATAAATTGATGTTCCTCCAAGTCATTCACTAGTGGTAGTTCTGTTATTGCAGCATGAGATCGCTAAGACAACGTCCTAAAGACATGCATGTGTTAAACCTTGGGATGTATGATTCACTTGTTATTATTGAGATGAGGAAAGTATTCAGGATTGTCTGCTGGATCTACTAGAATTGCAAATTCTTACAAAATGAAAACAGGATAATTGTGGATAAAAGAGATATTAACGTGGCTAGAGAGATCAGAGAAATTTTACAATACTAAGATGCTGGTTTTGAAGATGGAGAAAGAGCTAAGGAAAACAGGCCGCTTCCGAACACAGAAAAATACAGAGCTGAGCTTCTTCTCTAGAGCTTACAAAAGAAACATCGGCCATCTCATTCTTTGACCTTAACACAGTGAAATGAATTTCAATCTTCTGACATCAGAACTGTGAGAGAATAAATGTGTGTTGTCTTAAGCCACTGTGTGTGTGGCAATTTGTTGCAGCAGCAATGGGGAACCCACGTCTCTAGATGTTGGATTTAATAGACAAAGCTGTGAAGGTAGTTATTTAAACATATTTAAAGAATTGGAGAATATGTCTTTCCAAAGCTAAAAGAAAAAAATTTCATTAGTGAATTAGGAGGGAACTTCTGCAGAGAAGCAGAGTTAAATAGAAAGTCTAGAGCTGAATATTACAAGAATTTAAAGTTCACTGAATGGTCTTAACCAATCAGGGTAAATTTAAAGATCAGGTAACTGCAAATAAATTCAAGAGAGAGTCGTGAGATCAAAAAGAGATAAATAAAATTTGTGCAGAAACATCACACTGTGAAGCACAGGTATGTGTGCTTGGAGTACTAGAATAAGAAAAGTTAAGAGAAGGTAGAATAAATAAATAATGACTGACAGTTTCCTGAATTTGATGAGGTTAAATTAAATTGAAGAATCTCAGTGCAGGGTAGTACCCTGTTTCCCCGAAAGTAAGACATCCCCTGAAAATATGACCTACTTACAGTTTGGCCTCTCGCTGAAATATAAGGCATCCCCCCGAAAATAAGACCTCCCTGAAAATAAGGCCCCCCGAATCTATTGTGACTCTGGACCGTAGTGGCAGGCACCGCCACGCAGCTCACTGTTGGCCGCAGCGCAGCCGGAGCAGACAGGAAGTGTGAGGTCTCTTTTAATAAAACAATAAACAAGAAATGTGTACCGTATTCTTCTTCATGAAAAAATAAGACATCCCTGAAAATAAGACCTAGCGCATCTTTGGGAGCAAAAATTAATATAAGACACTGTCTTATTTTCGGGGAAACAGGGTACACTCTTTAATGTGGCTCTTCTAGCCAGTCTGTAATTCCACCCAAGACCTTCCCCTGCATGGGTCTGGTAAGAAGGTGGGGGGACGATACTGATAAGATTCACTTGTGAGCAGTTGTGAACAGGATTCCGTGGAATACCACTCTGCTGTGTATGAAATAAGAACTGGAGCAGCAGAAGGAGGGATCTCCTGATCAGCCAGAGTCAGGAGTGGAGCATGTCCACTGGGCCTGAGATCCCTGCATAGTGCATCTACTGGATCCAGGAGAAAGACAGCTAGAACTATTACACCAGAGGAGCAGCCGCAGAACAAGGAGCCAGAGATTTCCTGTTTTGCCATCAATCATAGGCCTGGTGGTGTAGGGGGTTATGTGTTGGGCTGCTAACTGCAAGGTCAGCAGTTTGAAACCACTGGTCAGGAGGAAGGTGAAGCTTTCTACTCCTACAAAGTTTTAAAATCTCAGAAACCCACAAAAGAAGTTCTGTTTTATAAGTCAGAATTGGCTTTTTGACAGTGAGGGGGTTTGGGCATCAATCTTCCACTGGGTATTAGAGATTCTCAGCGAAGAAACCCTGAGTTTAAAGGACACACATTATTCCCAGCACGTCTTCTCAGTGGTACTGAGCTCCCTCTTCCCTGTTTTCTACTCTTTCCTTTTATCTCTTGGAAGATGAGAGGTGATGCAGGACTTGCCTTTGGGAAACATTCCTTACATTGGACAAAAGCTGTGATCTGACCCACGGCGCAAGGAAGCTGCGTGCTTTTGTACAAGAGGCTGGTTTGTGGAGCGGGGTGCCCCTGAAACCTGAATTGGGGAAGCCGGGCTTGCTGGCCCACAGGAGTGGAGCTGCGTACATTCAGGTCGAGGCTTCCAAAGGAGTGGGATGTCTCTTTGGGCATTTTGCAGCAGACCTGAAAAAGCTTCATCACCTGCTCTAAAAACAACTCTCTCGAGCTTTCTCACTGACACCACCACCTGTGAACATCCTTAGTAAACCCTGCAATCGTGGATTTGGTCAATGCGTTCTGTGTAACCATTGCAAGGGATATTAAAACCCAGAAATTAGAGACTGTTACTTAGAACAACACACTCAATCAGTCTTACGTGAGAGCTGGCCCTTCCAGGTGCAAAGCAGTTACCTAAAGGTTCCTCCATGAAATGATAAAGATGGCGCTCTTTGGATATGTGGGTTTCTTCTGGTACGTTAATTCCGTTTTACCAAAGGTGTCGCTGCGAAGTGGTGGCTTATAAAAGGAGCAAGACAGACACAGAAAGACTCACCCAAGGGAGACTGATGCCATGTGCGGACAAGCAAAGGAATGGCCCTGGATGCCAACAGGGCCCGAAACTAGAAGCAAGGCCCGCACCTTCCCGTGAATGTTGAGCTTCCAGAACTCTGAGGATATACCAGTCTGTGCTTTAACGCCGCACAGTTGTATTTCGCTGATAGCAGTAGTTGGTAACGAGCCACATACTGTGCAGTCAGGGTTAAATGGGCAACATGGAGCTCCACAGTGGAATAGCCTCTTTTAGATAGAATCCAGTGTAGAAAGACGCAGGGAAAGTTGCCTATGGGAGAGAGCACCGTAATCCAGATAAACTCGTATGCAAAGCCTTCCAGTGACTTCTCTTCCTTACCCAGCATGCCTAGCAGAGTTTTCTGCACATGGAACATCAAAGAAGAACCTGGACTGTCAAGAAGAATTCCTATAGTTCCCATTATTCTATGCCAGCTACATTCTATTACCAGTTTTTAAAATCATTTTTATTTTCTGAGCACAGAGGCTTGATAGGAATAGAATAGCGGTAAAAATGCTTTTTCACAGAGAGTTGTAACCAGTGTATTCAGTGATATTAAACTATTTTTTTAATGTACTAAGATATTTTCCAGGGTTTTAAGTATCCAGACGACATTTGCTCAAACGTTCACACTTGGTGACAATTAAGCAGCCCTATGTCTCAAAAAAGAGCGGTAGCAAGTACAATAGATACAATGCTTGCTTTACACTCATAAAGAGCGAGCTATCTAAAGAGGGCCAATTAACGCTTCCTGGAATATTGTCCCACAGAAATCAAAACAATGTGAGATCTCACTTAACACCTTCTATACACATATTTTAAAATACTTCTGGAGCCAAAAAAGGGTCCCACTTTTCCCAGGATGTGTGGACAGTTAAATGCAGCTTGATTTTTAAAAAATAAATTCAAGAACAACTTTTTACATGACCCACAGCAATAAGGATATAATGCCCCAACTACTGTGCATGTTTCAATTTTAACTATTTGCATGGATGGCCAAGGATTGCATCAAGAGCAACTTACTTGTTGGCTTTAATCTACAAGACAGATTAAAACCAACGAAGGAAAGCTTACTACTATCAAAACACGATTTGGAAGTGAACATTTTAAAAATATCGACTCCAAAGCGGAATCCTGAGAAAGATCCTTGACTAGTGTAGGAGCTCAAGAGAAGAGGCTTGAGAGAGCATGAAACTATTAGTGGAAGACCATTATTCTCCCAAATTTGCAGTACAGTGAACCCTCGTTGATCGCGGTTCATCGGTTCTAGACCCTACCGTGATAAATGAAATTCCGCGAAGTAGGATTCCTTATTTGTAAATCAAATATTTTCGTAGTTAGAGCATAGAGGACATGAAAAAACACCCTTTAGTCACCATTACACTCGTATTACCCAATTTATTAAACGAAAAAGGGAAAATACAGTCAAACATTTTGGACGTTACAATTATCATTTACTATTTATTATATTATTTATGGCATCAAGCGTGTACAGTATGAGCCAATCAGTGGCAGTAATGACAGAGCATGCGCTGTTACGCAAAAAAACGCCATAGAGTGAAGCCGCAGAAGTCGAAGCGCGAAGTGGCGAGGGTTCACTGTAATTTACTGAGACATCTAGGGTAAATGGGTGAACTTTAATTTCCACGTTTATACAACAAACTGCTGGGATTAGATAGTCTCTGAGATTCCCTCGAGTTCCGATAGTTCATAGTTCTGCTCACGAACAGTTCACTAATGTGTTTGCGTCCCATTCTTCTACATCCCTCAGGGAAATGTTCAATAAATGGACCGAAGACAACTCCTAACTGTTCTGACTTTGGTACACAATGACCTGACAGCCCAATACTGACGGGGAGCTCCACGGAGGGAGGTACTCTGGCAAGCTCTCTTAGAAGTGGTTGGCGATTTGAGGTGAAATAAATGAGCTATTGCAAAGGGTATTTGAAGAACTGTTTTTCTTTGCTTTTTCAAGGTCCCCACGTGCTGTGCCTCGCACTCCTGAGCGGATGGCTTGTTGAAAGTTGTCTCCAACCACCACATAAAGTCGCAGGTTCCCGAATGTATTCAAGGCAGCTGAGGGTTAAGAAACAACATAGGCTTCATGGATTTGATACTCAACAGAGCCACTGATGGGAAGTAGATGCTATTTGATTCAAATGCCCCTCAAGATATGGAAGGTTAAACAAAGCATGTGTAAAATATGAGGAGTAACAGAATAGCTATCCTTTGAGCTTTCTGTTTAAGGCAGCTGCGAGTCTGGGGTCCCTGGGTCAGGGTGTGGATGATTGTTGTGTAGCAAAGGGTCACTATCACCAAGGGGAGGCAGAAAGTGGTTACAGAAAAAATTAGATTGTACCACTTGATGGTAGTGATGTCATCAGTACTGGTGAGGTCCAGGCAGGCAGATGGATTGGTCCTTGTGGCTAAGGTGATCAGAAAGGTCACGGGATGACTGCCACAAGCGAAATGCCCACACCATTGTACTGGCTACCACTGCCCATCCGTTTCTGTGAATGGAAAAGCAGTTCATTGGCTGGATGGTCACAAAGTACCAGGAGATGCTGAAAGAGGCGAGGAAGAGGATGCTGCTGTATAAGTTGAAATGGAAGCGGAAGCAGATGAACTTGCACACAAAATTTCCAAAAATCCAGTTTTTAAAGGCTTGAAGGTAATCAAGCAGCCATCAAGCTCAGAAGCAACAAAGCCCACATGGAAGAAGCACACCAGCCTATGCAACCATGAGGTGTCG